ACGCATCATATCTACTGTACGATTAGATTAGATGGGGCGGCAGCGCACGGCACAGCTCGGGCCCCGCTGACACAGCCGCTCTGACTCACCGGCCCCCGGGGCCGCGTCGGCATGCTGCGCACAGACCAGCTGCGCACGGACCAACGTGCACAGCCTGCCCTAATCTCCCCATGTATATAAGCCGGCCTCTGCTGCCCTAGGGACCTCAGTTTCGACCTCTTGTCCCTAGGTCAGTAAGCCCTCAGTTGTATTCTCTCTTACCCTACTAACTAATACATTTACTTGTCCCTAGCCTTAGGTTTGAGCCTCGCTCACCATCGCTTCGGTGAGAACCAGTCGGACGCCCCTCGCTTCTAGATATTTCCCTGTCGCTTGACCTCAAGTCGCGACACAATGGGAACGCAAGGCGAAGGATCGGGACCGCGAGGCACCTCCACATCAACAGAATAAGGCGGCGAACGTGTTCGCTATGGGGCTGATGCGCGACAATGAAGATGTGTTGAGAGGTAACGTGTTTGCGGCTTCATGTGAGGAAGTTTTTTCTTTCCCTGTTCAGACGAGAGCGCAGTCGAAGGCGGCAGGTAAGGAAACACTTACTAATGAGATCCAGAAGTCGGTCAGGTTTGAGTTCGAGCATGTAGGGGGAAAGCCGGGAGAACAGTCGAAGGAATCGACGGTTACGGTGCGTGAACCAGCAGCCCCGACGAGACTGACACCGGCAAAAGATAAACCATCTCTGGAATCGGAGGTGAGACCGCACCGAGCGAATTCTGAAACAGGTTGGCGCGAGCGAGAGCAGAAGAAGCGCGAAGCTCAGCGTGAAGCTCGTCGACAGGGTGGCGGAGATGAGAGGCCGAAATTAGGTAAGATTCCCCATTTCCGATTCACGTCTGACGTACAGGATGGGATATCGCTTGACGGGGTCCGGGACAAGATACTGGACACTTCGGTCTCACTGCCATTGCGCGAGATATTAGGAATGGCTCCTGAGTTACAGAAGCGGTTTGCTGCGCTAACAAGGACGAGAAAAGAGGTAATGGTGCAAAGTATCAAACTACAAGAGGAAGAAGTCGTGAAGTCTGAAGAAGAAGAAGATAAGCAAGATCGTTCAGACGAGCTGGGAACTGCCATGGTTGCCTATTCAACGGCTGAAGAGCTGTATGGACTGCTGGAGCGCTATGCAGGCGCAGTCGCAGTAGGATCGCGCCGTTACTACGCAATGGCGTGTGGAGTCTTAGAAGGCAAGTTTGGATCCGAACAGGTAACATTCCTTATTAACTCGGGATCGGAATTGAACTTAATTACGCGGCGAGTCTGGGAGCAATCGGGTGTGGATATGGACTCGGATGGTTCTCGCTGGTCCCTGAAGGGGATTAATGGAGACCCTGTCCCACTGCTCGGTTGCTGTCGTGATGCATCTGTTGAAATTGATGGGTGGCATTTTGATCATCATTTCTTCGTGAGTACGAGGGAATTTGGCAATTACGATGGTATCTTGGGACAACCCTGGCTGCAATGGCATTCGACGCAGGTTGAATATAATCGGGGGGGGGGGGCTGTTAATCTACTGATTTATCCAACAGGAGACCGCGCAGACGAACCAATCAAGTTGAAGATTTTGGGGTCGACACATCAGCGGAATTCAGACAAGCTTATCATGGAAGATCCGGCCAAACAACGGGTGACGTCGTCAGTGGAGGAGGTTTCTGATGAGGGTTTCTAGATCTGGGCGTGCATTTGAAGCCGCGCCCTTTCACGAGGGGCACGTCCAGGGGTATTCCGCGGTTGGGGAGAACATTATATGCAATGGTAGGTGAAGTGTCGAGAGTTTCAGTTGATGATATTTGCAGACTGGTACAGTATGATCCGCCGGATTCGTTTGACTTTATTTTACGCAGAGCTCTTTCTATTTCATCAGTAGGTTCGATACCAGTTCCAAGTCCATGGATAAAGCGAGTTACGAGCGACTACACGGCGTTGGTATCATTGGGAAGACGGTACAAGCCGGTGGATCAGAAAGTGCGTCCAGTTCCTACGTATATGCCTAACCCTTCAGCGCAGAAATTCAAACCAATTGACGTGTCAAATCTACCACCTCTTCCTACAAATCCGCCGTCGAGGTTTGAGTTCAGGCCGACAGAACGTCTCACACAGGAGCGATTGGATTCGATTATTGACACTGTGCCTGATGGGTTTTTGACATCGGCAGAGTTGGATTTGATGGTTTACATTGTTGATATTTGTCAACAGGCGATTGCATGAACAGATTCAGAACGAGGTACGTTCTCTCGTGAATACTTCCCTGATTATGAAATGCCCGTTATAGAACACACGCCGTGGGTACGCGCGCCAATACCTGTGCCAAGGGCCATTGAAGGAAAGGTACGTGAGATGCTTAGAAAGCAAATGGAAGCAGGAAAATACGAGTATTCCTCGGCATCGTATCGATCATCAACATTTACGGTTGAAAAGAAGAGTGGTGACTTACGCAACGTGCACAACTTGAAGGATTTGAACGGGGTAACGATACGGGATTCTGCATTACCTCCGCGACCAGATGAATTTGCAGAAAGCTTTGTGGGTTATGTCATTTACCTATTAGCTGACCTTCTATCAGGATATGATGCGCGGGTCCTTGCGGAGGCATCAAGAGACTTGACTACATTTCATTCGCTGGTCGGTCCGTTAAGGCTCACATGTTTGCCACAGGGATATACCAATTCGATGCAAGAGTTCCAGCGCTGTACAACGCATGTGTTGGGAAACATGTGCCCCGACAAAGCGAAGGTATTTGTGGATGATATGGCGGCACACGGGCCGAGCTCAAGGTATAATGAAGAAACGATTCCAGAGAATGATGACATCCGCAGATTCGTTTGGGAATATGCTCACGTCGTCTATGAATTGTTTTCTAGGTTAGAACACTCTGGGATAACGGCATCGGGTACGAAGATCGTCTTAGCAACGCCTGCGCTTGATGTTCTAGGTGCTATTGCCTCCGAAGAGGGTCTTCAGTTGCATCATGGGCTGGTCAATAAGGTACTGAAGTGGACGTATCCGACTAATGTGTCGGAGGTGCGGGGCTTTCTAGGAACGGCTGGTGTTGGACGCAAATGGATCAAAGGTTTCTCAATAATTGCACGACCACTGACAGTGCTTACCAGGAAGTCAGAAGATGAGTTCATATTCAACGAGGAAGCGAAACGCGCAATGGACGAGCTCAAACGGTTGGTGACTGAAGTGCCGGTACGCAAATCGATTGATTATGAACTAGGCAGACTAATTACACAGGGGACGCGAGCATCGAATCATGGACTTGTGGTTCTAGCAGTAGACTCCTCGATATATGGGGCTGGGTGGGTGCTTTATCAGTACGTGCACGTTGACAAGCATCCAGTTCTCTTTG